TGCAACTGATCTGGTGCGAGTCGAACTCCCAGGCCCGTGCTCAGGCAGGCTTGTTCAGGGCAGGTTGGTCCGCCAGCGGCCCCCCCAGACAGGATCGGGTTGGGCGAGGACAAGGATCAATCGGATCCAGGGCGTTCCAGAACGCTCTCAGAGCGTTCCAGATCTCTCTGAGAAGGCCGCGGCGCCCAAGGCATTCTCCAGAGCCACAAGATCTCAGAAATGCTCGACGTATCCTCACCCGAATTTATCCTCGTCATGGCTTCGTCTCACAGTCGGGTATAGCCAGGACCCCTGGTGAGGGGACCCAGTTAGTGGTAGGGCCTCGGAGCCCCTAAATTGGCCAGAGTCACTAAACCAGGTCTGCCGTAGCTCGTATTTCTTCGGGTGACGGCAGTTCCGGTTGATGGAACGGGGCGGGGGCGCGCCCCCCAGTAAACATCCGGAGGGTTCCAAAGGGGGGTTTTGGGGAGGGTCTTTTCCAGAAGGGGTCCCCCAGGGGTTTCGCACCCTCTATTTTGACGAGGTTCCGAGGCCCTTACGGGGCTCTCTGGAAAACCCCCTCCCCCCCAAACCCTTTTTGGAACCCTCCGGCACATCACTAAACCAGGTCCCACTAAACCCAGTTCTGCCAGCTCCCGACACAGGACGCCTGCAGCGAGGGCCCTTCCAGCACGCAGCCAGCGGCAGCGCAGCAGGCGGCGGCGGCGCAGCAGGCTCGGGCGTCGCCAGAAGTATCCCTGGCAGACGGAGGAGGAGGAGGAGGAGGAGGAGGAGGAGGAGAAGGAGGAGGAGGAGAAGGATGAGGAGGAGAAGGAGGAGGAGGAGGGAGAGGAGGAGGAGGAGGAGTTGGAGGAGGAGGCGGAGGAGGAGGAGGAGGAGGAGGAGACGGATGATGAGGAGAAGCAAACCCTGGCAGAGGCAGAGGCCGCGACGCCGAGGCTGACGGCCGCTGCGGCAGAGGCGAAGGTCCGCCTCCAGGCAGGGGGGGCCTTCCTTCGTCTCGCTGGACCCGCGGTGCCAGGTCAAGCAGCGCGCCTACACGAAGCAGCTGGCGGCCCGCGCGCACGCCGAACTCCGCGCGCGCCTCGCCGAGCCCGCGGCGGATCTCCTCCTGTCCCAAAGCGGGACCGGCGCAGTGGTGCTGCAGCCGCCGAGCTTGCCGCAACACCTTCTGGGAGACGACGAGTTCGCGGTCACGCTGCGGCGGCGCCTGTTGTACCTCGACCCGGCAGGCCAGGGCGGCGCCCCGTGCCAGAACAGGGCCGCCTTTACGGGCGCGCAGTGCGGGGCCAACACGGCAGAACCCCACGCAAGGCACGCCGCCGTCTGCAACGTCGGGCCCGGCGTCGTGCGCCAGCACCACGGCGTCCGCGACCAGTTGGGCGAATTGGTTGGCAGACGGTTGTGGCTCTCAGTCCGCGACGGTTGAGCAGCGCATCCCATCTTGGGACGCAGCGACCGCGGAGGGCACCCGAGCAGCCGTCCTCGACGTGGTCCTGGCGCATCCGGGCGGGCGCGCGTGCATCGACACGAGCGTGGCCGAGGCCATCGCCGCCAAGGGCGCGACCGCGCGCCGGCGCGCCCGCGTCGCCGGCGCAGCGGCCCGGGAGCGGGAGCAGGAGAAGCACTCCCGCTACGTACCCTGGCCCTGGCCTGGTGGCCGCGGTGGTGGAGAGCGGCGGCCGCGTGGGGCGCGAGTTCGACTCGTTCCTGCACGAGCACGCCCTGCGCCTGCGCCGGCGCCTGCGCCGGCGCGTTCCGCAGGCGGCGCCTGCGCCGGCGCCCAGGCCCGCTGTCGGCGCCCAGGCCTTTGCCATGAGGACGAGAAATACAGGAAGACGAAGACGAGCAGGAGTTGGAGGGGGAGGAGGAGGAGTTACAGTTGGAGGAGGAGGAGGAGGGCGACGACGACGAGGACGAGGACGAGGACGAAGTCGAGGACGAGGACGAGGACGTCGACGAGGGTGCTGAGCGCTCAAGGCCTGAATGATTGCTCAAAGCCAAGCTACGCCACCAGGGCGGGCCCACGCTCCGCGTGGCCAACAGGAAACGAAGGCCCCCTAGAGGCCCCCGAGAACGCCCGGGCCGCCACGGCCCAACTCCTGGGCACACCCCGGGCCACGGGGACGGGTGCCCAGCGCAACGAACCGAGCCCAACCGTGGCAACGCAAAGTCGGCCGAAAACCTGCAGCAACACGCGTGCGGAAGCGGCCGCGCGCGCCCTCACGCGCACCCTGCCTCAGCCGGCGCCTCGCGGCGGCGCGCCTCTTCGTCATCCTTCTGCGTTTTCCGGCGCTCCCAGGCGATCGCCGCGGCGACCGTCGCTTGGCCCATGGGCTCCCAGGTCGAGCCGCACCTGCCAGCCCCAACTCCCGCGTCTTGCGGGCTTAGCACCGCGTTCCAGCTGGCCCGCGCTGCCGCGCTGGGGCCCCGGGCCGCGTCCAACTGGACGTACTCCTGCCACGGGTGCAAGTGGAGCCCTTGCCGCAGTCGGCGTCGGGCCTCCGCCAGGCCAGGAGCCTGCGGTCCCAAACGCCGCTCAAGAAGCTTGCCCCGGGCCTGCCGCTGGTACTGCGCATTCGCCCTGCAGCTCATGCAAAACAGCACGTTTGGCGGACTTTGGCCTGCACACGCCACGATCCTGTGGCCGCGGGGCCACCACGGGGCGGCCTCGGCGCATGCGGATGGCGATGAGGATGAGTTTGTTCATGACGATGATGGTGGTGATGTGGATTGTGATGGTGATGACGATGATGATGATTCGGATGATGATGCGAATGATGCTGATGATGGTGATGATGGTGATGGCGGTGGTGGTGATGATGCGGACAATCGCATGATGATGCTTCGGGCGACTATTATGCATATGGTCGTGATGATGGGTATGCTGATTGCGGTGTGATGCCCATGCTTTTATGACGATGGCGATGATGATGGTGGTGATTATGACAATGATGGTGTTGATGGTGGTGATGCTGATGGTGATGATGATGATGATGGCGATGGTCAGCCGGTGATTACCATAATGATGGTTATTATGATTGTGAGGATGCTGATGCTGGTGTGAGAATGATGGCGATGATGATGTTGATGTTGTTGGTGATGATGACGTTCATGGTGATGGTGATGATGATGCTGATGGTGGTGGTGGTGGCGGTGATGGTGGTGATGCTGATGACGATGACGATGGCGACTATGATGATGGCGATGACTGTGGTGGTGGCGGTGTCGGTGCTAATGAGCATGAACATGAACATTGTGGTGATAATGGTGTTGACGATAAATGACGACGTTGGTGACATTGGTTGTGAGGGTGATGGTGATGGTGATGATGTTGCTGGGGGGAAGTCGGAGGGGGATGAGGATGCGGATGCGGATGAGGAAGGTGAGCAGGGTGGTGAGGATGGTGATGGGTGATGATTATGGTGGTGATGCTGATGCTGGCGGTGATGCTGATGCTGGTCATGGCGATGTTGTCGATGATGGTGACGATGAGTACCATGACAATGATGATGATGATGATGATGATGATGATGATGATGATGATGGCGACGATGACGTTGATGATGGTGATGATGATGATGATGATGATGATGATGCTGATGATGATGATGATGATGATGACGGTGGCGATGATGCAGATGAAGAGGAGGAGGAGGATAACGACGATTCGGGATCCCCTGAGTGCTTGGGCCGCAGCAGGCTCGATCAGGGCGAAAGCGTTCCCATTCTCGGACACGTCTCACCTTTTTTTTTCTGTGCATGAGTTGCACCTTGTATAGCAGTGGTGGATTGGTTCTCGGTCTCGGTCGTAAGCGCGCTCCTCGTAGGGTGACAGGTACAAAAAGTACGCGCAAACTCCATAAAAAAAACTGGCCTCCATCTTGACTAGAATAATGTCACCGTCGGCATTGACGAATTCATCCGACCGCTCTGAGTACAGTTTTCATGCTGCTCCAGCTGCGTCCATGGGTCGCTGTTTGCAATCGCTGCCCACAGAGACCGTGCAATCGCTTCCGTTCCCCAAAAAAATAACGACGAGGATGATGATGATGAGTAGGAGGAAAACGACCAGGAGGAGGAGGAATAGGAGGAGGGGGAGGAGGAGGAAGAGGAGGATGATTACGATGATTAGGAAGAGAAGACGGAGGAGGAGGAGGACGACGACGAGAAGGAGGAGGAGGAATAAGAGGACGAGGAGGAGGTTTTCTAAGGAAGCGCCCGCGGCTTTCGCGAGGAGGCCTCCACGGGTGTTGCCAAAGTTCGCGGACGAAGAGTGGTACATACGATGCACTTGTCCTAGGGCTGCTGGCAAGTGTATACCTCAACGTGCCACCGCAGGGGTGTAAATTTTGCAGCCGCCCTGGGAAAGGCACCCCCGACAGCGGAACAGCTTATTTTACACCGTGCTGCGCCCGCTAAGCGATCGTTTTCTTATTCATTGTTTTGCCGATCGGCGCGGGCCCTCGCACCCCCCTCTTGCCATCCCTCCTCTGGAGTAGATCAGGCTGTTTTTGGCGCCTGTTTCGATCAGGTGGAGTCCCCCCCAGGACGCACTGCTGCAAACGGTCGCAACAGGCAGAGTTCCAGAGCCAGACCCCCCCCCCCCTTCCGCCCAGCGTCGAGACGCCGAATCAGAAAACGTCCACCTGCCCCCGCTAAGAGAAGCGTCCGTGGCCCGAGATGGCCTCGGGATTTCCGAGGAGGCCCCCGCGGCCTCCAGAGCACTCCCCGCGAGGACCAGCGGGCCCCCAAAAAACACAAAACACACAGTCAGTCGTGTTTTTTTTTTTTTGTGTGTGTGTATGTGTGTGTGTGTGTGTTTTGTGTTTTGTGTTTTGTGTGTGTGTGATTTGTATGTGTCTTTTTCCCCACAGTGTGTTTTTTCCCACAGGCCCCCACGGCCTCCAGAGCACTCCCCGCGAGGACCCGCGGGCCCAGGGCATGCGCAACGGAGCGAGACTGGGCCGGGGACACCTTCGGCAACCCTTGACAGGCGGCGGCGGCGGCGCCGCAGGCGGCGCCTGCGCCGGCGCCCAGGCCCGCAGTCGGCGCGGGGGGGGCTCCGGTCAGGAGCAGCGTCGAGGGGCGGACACGCTCGAGGTGCGAGGCTTTCGTTCGCTGGCCCTCGTTGGTGGATCGAGCACTGGAGGAACCTTAGGGGACATCGAGCCCCTTCCGAGCCCAAGCTGTTCCTTCCTTCGGCGTCTTGGCTGTTCGCGGTTCGGGTTTCGTTCGAGGTCTGGACGTGTTCGCGGGCTCTCGGCGGTTCGCCGTGCCTCGGGAGGCCTTCCCAGCAGCCGCGCCTCGCCGAGATCGTTCCGGGGTGCGAGGCTTTCTCGGCGTCGGTTCGCAGACATCGCAGGAGTTCTACCGACGCGTCGATTCGCACCTCGTCTTTGCGGCGCCTCTCTCGGTATCGTGTTCGCGGGCTCTCGGCCTCTCTCCAGCCTCGGGGTGCTTCCCAGCAGCCGCGCCTCGCCGAGATCGTCCCCGGGGGGGGGCCCGGGGTCGTGCCGAGCGGCCGTCGGAGGCCCGAGTCGTGGCCCGAAGAGCAGGCGGGCGTCGCGGAGGTCGGGGGGCGATCGGCAGGCGGCGCTCGGCGCAGGAGGGGAGGCCTGGACGCCCCATCGTCCACTGCGTCGAGGAGGTCGATCCTCCGAGGTTTCACTCGAGGGAGGACGAGGAGGAGGAGGAGGAGGAGGAGGAGGAGGAGGAGGAGGAGGAGGAGGAGGAGGCATGGACAGGAGGCGCAGGAGGGGATGCATCGAGGCGGGGGACTTCTTAGAAGGCGATCGGCGCAGGAGGCGATCGGCGCAGGAGGGGGCGACGGCAGGGGGCGGTCGGCGCAGGGGGGGAGGCATGGACGCCCAATCGTCCGCTGATGCGGCAGCAAGTCATGGGAGCCCGGTGTGCCCTCAGAGTTCCGTCTTTGTCGACTCGTATCGGCCCGCGTCTTGGAGTCGGTGGGATAGCGCCGACTTCGCGTCGATAATTATGACATCAACAATAACAGCAATCAGTTTAAGACTGTTCGCTCTTATCTGCTCGCGTGCCATTCAACACGTATGTTCCAAACCCTCGATAGCCACCTTCCTCGTCTTCGATCGCACCCCCTTGGGGGTATACATCTTTCTCACCTGCAACGCGTATTTCGCGCAGCCCGTTAGGCATGGGAAGGAAGGACGGATGGAAGGAATGGACAAGTGGGAGGGAGGAGGATGGAGCACGAGAGAAAGTAGCAGGAGGGGGGCTAGGAGCAGAAACATGCGGTATAACCAGACGGGCAGATCGGGCGGGTAGACCCTAACGGGCGGGTCGGGAAGGTGGGCCCAGTCGGTCGGGTCGAGCAGGCGGGTTGTTGAAGCGTGTGCCCTGCATGAATCGCCAGGAAGTTTCGAGCGGTAGCGCGATTCCCAAATAATTCGCGAGGAATTCCACAGCGAGAGCGTGATTCCTGAGTGTCGAGGGCGCGGCGTCGGAATAAATTGCGAGGGAATTCCACGCGAGAGCGCGATTCCTGTATACAGTGCAAGGGTGTCCCCCGCGAGAGCGCCACTTTGGAAATACATTGGGAGGACGTATCCGGCGGGAGCCGCTGTTCTTGTAAACCGGGGGGCAGGGGCCACGTTTGGTGACCGCTCGCATTCTTATCAAAAAGGCAGGACGCGAGCCTGGGGAGAGGCACGAGAAGCATACAGTCAACGCGCATAGTAAGGACAAACGTCTTTTTCAAGGGTACCCTTGGGTCCTTGCCTGCCTCAGCCTCTGCGGCCCGTCCCTAACAATTTCCGCAGGCCAGAATACTTCAACTTCGGCCTCCAAGGGTCTTGCGTCCTTACCACGCGTCCTTACTGTACGTTTTGACTGCATTCATTATTTTGCACAGCTGTGTTCTAGAGCTCGGACCTCTTTATTTTCGTTCGTCGTCGTCGTTCGTTCGCTCGTCGTTCGTCCACCTTCGAGGCCACAGAAGGAACCAGTTTGGAGGAAGGAGGCGAAATCCTCTTGCCCCTCACAGCTCCTTGGTGCAAGATGCAAGAGCCAGTGCACGCGTGCCACTTGTTGACAACATAACCATGTGCCCCGGAGGCGGGGACCAATTTCATTGGCCATTGGGCATGAAAATGCAACAACTCCAACAACAGCAGCAGCAGCGGCAGCAACAACAACAACAACAACCCGCACCGCAGAACCTCACTTCAGCCAAAGGCCCAGGGACAGATGATGCCGGTTCGTTCCCCATCACCTTGTCATGCGGCCACCGCAATGGAGGCAAGGAAACGCATGCGGCGGGTGTCCAGAATGCGACGGGGGCTGTTACTATGGGGTGGGAGTGCGGCCCTGGAAGGGACATGCGTTCGGGACTCCCAGGCGCGATCTGATGACGCGATGAGTTGTTGTTTCTGTGTGTGTGTGTGCGTGTGTGTGTGTGTGTGTGTGTTTGTGAGCGTGTGTGTGTGTGTGTGTATGCATGTATTTGTGTGTGTGTGTCTGTGTGTGTGCGTGCGTGCGTGCGTGTGCGTGTGTGTGTGTGTGTGTGTGTGCGCTTGCGTGCTTGTATGTGAGTATGTGTGGGCTTGAGGGAAGCAGAGCAGTGCGGTGAGTTGTTTCGAATTCGGCGTGCGTCATAGGTGCTGTGCGAGGTGGAGACCTCCTCCACAATGAGCTATGTTGTCGCGACAGGTCCGTGGCCTGACCCATCCCCTCCGCAACGAAGCTCGGGGGCGGATCGAAGGCCCCCGTGGGCAGCAAGTGGTTCACAAAAGTGAGCGGGCGCTCTCCCGGGCTAGGGATCCGCGCCAGTGATTTCTGGGGCAACCGCAGGGGTCAGTATGACGGCCTCTTGCCAGGAAGGTGTTCTGTGGAGCGCGCGGACAGCAGGGTGGTGCATGTGGAATAGGATTCGGAGAACCAGCTTACAGACGGTCTAGACGGGGAAGGGGTGCACAAGCACACATCATGTGTGAACCGAGCGAAATGTCCAGCATGACGCGAAAGCCCCACAGCAGTCTGCAGCATTTGCGTTGCTGTCCAGGCGAGGACCCGCATCGCCTCCTCGAATCTTGTTTTGAAGATCATCGTCGCGCGCGCGTGCACGTTTCGGACCGCAAGTTGCATGTCCTCATGGCAGGTCGTGAGGAGAGCCACTTGATACTTCCTTGCCATCGTGACGAATGCGCAGCGAGACCGCGCGCGATAACGGATGCCAGGCACTGCCCGCGTTTTCTGTTGTTTGTTTGGGCGAAGCTGCAGAGCTACACCAGCGTGAGCGGTGTTGGTCAGGGATCCCCCGTGGCCACGCTGACGCAGACCAGTCCCTGTCTATTTCCCGAGGAGGGCGGCGAGCGCCGGCCAGCACGGAGCCGCTTGCCGGACCCCGACCTTGTCGGGACCAGCGGCCGCCCTGCCCTCACCCTACACCGTGGCTGACCCTAATCATCAGGGGTAACTCGGGCGCCCAATATCCGTATCCATTGTCTCACGGACTGCGGTGGGTTCGCGTCGTGTCGTCCGGCGGCGACCCCGCCGACGGCGTTCAACGGTGAACGCCGGCGGCGGCCCAGTCGATGTGGTATTGTACGATTGGACGTTACGAGAGGAGCGAACCTGCCGTAGGACCCCGGGCCAAGACCCCGCGAACGCGGGTCGATTTTTCTGTCGCGGATATCCCCGGGCGGAGCGTAGCCGTGCGACCGCGCATCCGCTGGATCGTGCCCCGGAGTCCAGACCGCGAGGGCGCGGATTCGGGGGTTTGCCCGCCGCTCGTGGGTACACACCTCCCTCGTTCGAGCTCAGGGGCAACGATAGGGGGGGGAATGGGCATGGGGGGGGACGCATCGACCCCCAATCGCCGAAAAAGGGCCCGACAGCCCCAACCTGCCCAGGCATGTGCGGATCCGTGATCGGGGGCATATCGCCGATCCATCGGCCATGTACCGCCGATTCCAGGTCGATGTGTCCTCCCCCTCCCCCTCCCCCTCCTCCTCCTCCTCCTCCTCCTCCTCCTCCTCCTCCTCCTCCTCCTCCTCCTCCTCCTCCTCCTCCTCCTCCTCCTCCTCCTCCTCCTCCTCCTCCCCTCCTCCTCCTCCTCCTCCTCCTCCTCCTCCTCCTCCTCCTCCTCCTCCTCCTCCTCCTCCTCCTCCTCCTCCTCCTCCTCCTCCTCCTCCCTCTCCTCCTCCTCCTCCTCCTCCTCCTCCTCCTCTCCTCCTCTCCTCCTCCTCCTCCTCCTCCTCCTCCTCCTCCTCCTCCTCCTCCTCCTCCTCCTCCTCCTCCTCCTCCTCCTCCTCCTCGTCCCCCCTGTAACGGTCCCCCCCCTTATCGTTGTTCCTCACGAGCGCGCTCCGAGGCGTGCGGGGGCCTCTGCACGCCCCGCGTGCCGCGCTCGCGCGGAGCCCCGGGCGCGCAGGCCCGGTCTCTTCTCGAAGCGGCGCTCGCCCCCCTCGGCCGTCCAGCGCTCTTCCTGCGCTCCTCCTCCTCCTCCTCCTCCTCCTCCTCCTCCTCCTCCTCCTCCTCCTCCTCCTCCTCCTCCTCCCTCCTCCTCCCCCTCCTCCTCCTCCTCCTCCTCCTCCTCCTCCTCCTCCTCCTCCTCCTCCTCCTCCTCCCCCTCCCCCTCCTCCTCCTGCCTCCTCCTCTGGTTTCCTCCTCCTCCTGCGCATCCTCCTCCTCCGCCTCCTCCTCCTCCTCCTTCCCTCTGGTGCGCCAGAGGAGCGCCAGAGGAAGAACGAAGGAGCCTTTCTGGCCAGGCAGAGCCTCTGCTGCGAGTAGGCTCCCCGACCTGGATCCAAGGAGCGGCCCGAGAACAGGAGCCCCTTTCCGAGCCTGAAGTGGCCCTGATTCCAGCGCCTTGACTGGGCACCGGAGGGAAGAGGAGGAGGAGGAGGAGGAGGAGGAGGAGGAGGAGGAGGAGGAAGATGAGGAGGAGGAGGAGGAGGCGCCAACTTCACGTTCTCGCTCCTGTCCGCAGTGCTCTCCATGCGAGGACCTGGAGTGCCCGTCAGGTGCGCCCTGTCGGTGCAGCGGTGGCGTCCGTGTTCTGCCCGGGCCCCGTGTGCCCGTCTTTCTAAGCACTGCTCTTCCCGCGCGGTAGTCTTCTCGGGAGCCTCGCCCCAGACCTCGGGTGCTCTGATTTGTCCAGTGCGGGGTCCTTGAAAGTCCGCACCTCCTCCCCCAGGACCGACTCCTCATCTCAAGTCCTGCTCGGACGGCCCCGGGTCCTGGCGAGGGCGCCCAGAGGCCGAACACGGGAAGACAGTTGCAGTCGCGAGCAGCCCTGGGGCTTGCAGCGGTCCGCAGCGCAAGGCCCCTGCCTCCCTCCGGGCCGAGCGGGGGTTGGGGGCCGGGGCCCGCGCCGAGGCCCGACGAGACGCAGCCGCAGCGGCAGGAGGCCTGCCGGGGATGCTCCCTCGCCTGCCCTTCCCCCCCTCCCTCCCTGTGCCGGCTACAGACGATGTGGGTTGGTAGGGGGCCACATGCGAACCCTACCCCTACCCCCCACGACTTCTGAGGGGGAGGGTGGGGTTCACTTCGTTCGCATGTGGCCCCCTAGTTGGGCAGATCTGTTTCAGGTTGCTGCGGGCACGAAGCGGTGGAGGGATTGGGGAACGGGTTCCTGTGACACAGCGTCACGAGAGCCAGCGACGTGGGGGCAGCTCGGCTGCCAGGCACGACGCGGCGGAGGGACTGGGAAAGGAACTCCGCTACACAGCGTCATTCAAGCCAACCCGTGCTTTCGCATGTGCGGCGCTGCGGTGCCATCCGCCCACGCCCAACGCTGAGTCGGGATCTGCCCGCCAGTGGGTGCTCTCTCTCTTTCTCTTCTCCTCCTCCTCGTCGTCCTCCTCCTTCTCCTCATCCTCCTCAACCTCCTCCTCCTCCTCCTCCTCCTCCTCCTCCTCCTCCTCCTCCTCCTCCTCCTCCTCCTCCTCCTCCCCTCTCGGGGGGCCGCTTGCCAGGGAGGAGGGTGGCAGGTTGTAAGTCTGATGCGGCCTGCGTGAGGCAGTGTCTCTGCAGCCCTGCCTTGCGTCGGCAGGGTCACCTCCAAGATTCGATTTCGGATCCTGTCTCCTCCGGAGCCAGAGTGGCTCCCAGCTCGCCGAACCTTTTTTTCGTTTCGCGGAGGTCCGCCGAGAAGGTGGCAGACCTCAAATGGCGTCCCCCAGGGAGAAGGTCCTCCGATCACTTGCAGCCGGCAGGGAGCAGAGGTCAGGGGGGGGGGCTCCTCGAAGATCAGAGGATGAGCAGGTACCAATACCGCTGCTCGTCTTGGAGAGACCTCGTCGCTGGTCGCTACGGCTGGGTTCGCCCCGCACTTCTGGTCACAACAGGACTGGAGGGCAGATTCGGGCAGCCACGATTCCACACCGCAGAAGCACCCCGGGGGTATGCTGCCGTCCAGCAGCACTTGAGGAATTCCATTGCGTTCGCAACTGCACCGGGAACTGGGCTGTGCAGGTGTGGGAAAAAGGCGTCCTGCGGTGGACGCCCTATGGAATGATGGTCGGCGTCCGGCCGACCATCATTCCATACCATTCCACAGCAGGACGTCGGATGGTCGGCGTCCGGCCGACCATCCGACGTCCTGCTGTGCGGTCATCGAGTGGTAGGTGAATGAGGGCGGCGGCCGATGGCGTGCGGCAGAGGCTGGGGCGGCGGCAGAGGCAGGGGCGAGGAGGAGGAGGAGGGGGAAAGGGGGAGGAGGAGGAGGAGGAGGAGGAGGAGGAGGAGGAGGAGGAGGAGGAGGAGGAGGGAGAGGAGGAAGAGAGAAGGAGGAGGAGGAGGAGGAGGAGGAGGAGGAGGAGGTGGAGAAGGAGGAGGAGGGGGAGGTTTGAGAACGCTACAGGCTTGTTCCTTAAGTCGGGCTACCGTAAAAAAGGAGGAGGAGGAAGAGGAGAACGAGGAGTAATCTACAGACAAGGGGGAAGGGGAATGGGGAGGAGACATAATCCATTGTAGTTGGATCGCAGATCTATGGGCAATGCATCGTCGATTCCAAGTCCATGGTTTCCCCCTGCGCAGGTGATTGGTGATGATGGCTTGATGGCTGTACTTGGTGCCACTTGACAGTCGCCGGCGATACTGACCCTTTCCCCAGCATGGGCGTGCGAAGCCGCTATCTAGTTGGTCTTATTATCACAGCTCACTGAAGTTCGACTTCGCCCTCATTGAGTGATCAAGAGAGGCGGAAGAGAAAGACGAGATGGAGGTGGAAGGGGGGTGGATGGATAAGGATCATGAGGAAGACATGAGACATATGACGATAAGAGCAGGGGGAGGTGGACGATGAGGAGCAAGGAGGAGGCACGATGGACAGGCAAGTGAGAGGAGGACTCGGAGAAGGGGGAGCGCCACATTGCCTGGGTACACCACGGAGCTTACGCACGATTCAGGACTTCTGCTCGCTGCTGGAGTTGCGAGTTCACATCGAAACCGAAGGGCGTGTGTGCACCAAGGCGCCCGTGCGCGGCGCCTTGGACGAAAAGAGAGGGACGAATCAGAGAACGGTCCTGGGCGGGCTGCAGCGTGCGCTTTCTGGGTGTTGGTTGGAGGTGGCTGTAAAGCAAACGGCTCCGCCACCCAATACTCATCGGGAAATCAACTCAAGGGGCAATTCGGCGTGCCTTTGCGACACGGCAACGGCGATACCGGAAATACGCATCGGACCCTGCAGCCGTCGTTCTTTCTGTCATTGGTTTTGAGCATGAGCCCGAGTTCAGCTGTTACGGCATAGGCAAACCCCGACGTTCAGGGAGGAGAGGGCGGGGGGAGGCAGGGGGAGATGGGGGGAGCGTGCGATTTCCAGTCGCCACCCCGCAGTTTTAGGAGCACGAGGGGGACGGAGGAGGGAGCCAGCAACCAGCAGTGAGCGAGCTCGCGGGTTTCTCCTGGGCGTGGCGCCCTGGGATGTCGGTGCGCGGCTGGCAGGGCCCCTGCAGCGTCGACTGCGACGTCGAGGGCACGCACATGAACTGCCAGGACAGGGGCTGCGGCAGCCACACACCCCTCCTCCTCCTCCTCCTCCTCCTCCTCCTCCTCCTCCTCCTCCTCCTCCTCCTCCTCCTCCTCCTCCTCCTCCTCCTCCTCCTCCTCCTCGACCTGCACGGTGCCGGCGGCGCCACCTGAGCTGTCTCGGGTCCCCGTTCAGCCTCCGATGGCCTCGGGTCGGCCAGGGCGAGGGGCCCCGACCGACCCAGCCCCCTGTGCCTTTTCCTCGGGAAAGTGACAACTGGCGACGCTGTCTCACGCTTCCGGCTTGTACATTTTTTCGAGCCGTCCTCGCCGACCTCGACTCCGCCTGGCATCACGGACGGGTTCGTCGCCAGCACCGACGCGGACCACAGTTGGGACGGCACGGGCGCCCCCACGTGATTGTACGAGGCCGCGCCGCCTGTGCGCTGCCGATCCCGCCCCCCCCCCCCCTACTTCGTCCTCTTCCTTTGTCCTCACCTCTGTCACGCACGAGCTTTTTAGCAATCTGGCCCCTGGACCCCCCCCCCGAGTTGAGGAGGTGAGGAGCGGGTGAGGTAGCGGGGGTAAGTTTTGGGGGTCGAGGAGGCCGACCAGGGCAGGTGTGAGTGCCTCGGAGGCCAGCCTGATACAGGCAGCATCGGTGGCCACCGCCTCATAGAGGCCCGCGGGGCATCACCCCCTGCCCAGAGACAGACAGACGATTTGCGACGGTCCTTTGGGCGAAGTCCCCCAGAGGCTGCATGGTGCGTGTAACCCCCACCTCGGATCGTCACGGCACGATGCGATTGCGAGAGGTTGATGTTGAGTCGAGCTAATAGCTCGACCCCTAGAGGTCTAGCCGAGATCACACGCAAGGCCGAGTCTTCTTCTTCTTCTTCTTCTTCTTCTTCCTCCTCCTCCTCCTCTTCATCTTCCCTCTCCTCCTCCTCCTCCTCCTCCTCCTCCTCCTCCTCCTCCTCCTCCTCCCTGTCCTCCCTCCTCTCCTCCTCCTCCTCCTCCTCCTCCTCCTCCTCCTCCTCCTCCTCCTCCTCCTCCTCCTCCCTCCCTCCCCCCCGTCGCGATCTTAAACATGGATTAGGGGGGCGTAGATTAGCAACGGGTCCCGTTCCTTGGGAAATCCCAGATTTCCGCCGCCGAGCGCGGCGGCGCTGGCCGCATTTTGGAAAGGGCACCTCCCCCGATCCATGGATTTGGCGACCGCGCGCCAAATCTATGGATCGCTAATCAGTGTTTGCGCGCCCCCGAACATCCGGTCCACGGTCCCTAACCCCCTCGCTCGGAGGACGCGCAATGGGGGGCGATGAAGGGGAGGGCGGCGAGGGCTGCAGAAGAGTAGGCCCTTGAGGGCCCCTCAAGGGCCCTCTCGGGCCCAGGAGGGGGCCCTGAGGGCCCGAGAAAGGCGCCTCTCTTCGCCCCCGTTCCATCGCCCCCCACCAACTCGCGCCCAACTCGCGTTGTGAAAAGATCACGACCGTAGCTTCTTCACAATTTTCGCCGGGCCCCGGGACCGTCAGACGACGGCTCAGGATGAAACGCCGGGCCCAGGGAAGGGGTCCAGACTTTTGGGGGTCAACGAATGGTGAAAGCATCGCTGCGTCGGAGGGCTGGGTTCGCCTCGCGAGTGGCGGTCTTTCGCTCCCCGTCTCCCCCCCGCCCCCTCCCGCACCAAGCCCACTCCCCCCCTCTCGTTCTCGCTGCCCCTCGCCTCCTCTTCTCCGTCCACTCCCCTGCCCACACCTCCAACATGTGCGGCGTCTTCAATTGAGGGGGATACGATGGTCCAACAGTCTTCCCGCCAAGGTGAGTCGAAAGGAGCTTCCTGTCCTCGAAGTGCCAATTCAGGATCTCTGCGTATCCACATCCGCCCATCCAGCAACGAGGCCCAGGCGAGTTCCATCGAGTGGGGCAACGAGGGAGGGCGCAGCCGATAAATCGACGATCGGGATCAGCTTGAGCAGGCCCCAGAGTTAATCACAAATGCTTCCGCGGATCTTTCGACATGGGAGCCTTTTGGCATCTGATTGGGCCATGCTGGGGTCATGTTGGAAGCATTGTGAACTCCTGTTTTTTTTTGTCGGCTCTGTTGGAGCCATCCTCGGGGCCTTCAGGCCAGGGCCTCTTGGGACAATCTTGGAGCCCGTCGGCAAAATACGAAGGCGGCATGAATTAGCCTTCCGCCGTTGGAGACCATTCAACCTCCTCGTGATGCTGCCGTTTCTGGCCGCTCTTTGGCCCGTTGGGCCATCTTTGAGCCATCTTGATGCATCCAAAACCGGTCGGGAACGAAACTGCGAGAAGACAAACAAGCATGAACTTCTTTCCGTAGATGTTGGAAGGATGTGGGCCTCTCGGGGTGTGTGGGTCCATGCGATGCTCCGCGGCCACTTGGAATCGTCTTGGGGTGGTTTTGAAGCCTTGGAGGCATGTGAGAGGCTATCCAGAGCCATCTTGGGCTATGTTCTGCCATCTTTGGAGCCGCGTTGTGCTATGTGGGGCCCTCTTGGAGGGATCGTGGGCCGTTTTGGATCCTCCAACGACCCAGGGGACCACCTCCGGCCCCCCCCCCCTTTCAGACCCACGGAGGGGGGGGCAGCGGGAGACGCAAACCTCTCCCCCTTAAGGGGTAGCATGAGGTTGGAGCAACGGTTTCTTTGAACCACCTATGCCCAAATCAGGAGGGAAAGAAACACACAGACACAATTCATCGTCGATTCCCCCGAACATATGGGAAAATATGGGAAATAGGGGGGGAAGACAAAGACCCAGAAAATATTGGAAAAATATGGGGAATCCTGTTACTTGTGTGTGCATTTGTTTGTGTGTCCTTGGGCCCCTTGCCCAAAGGGCTGGTGGGCTTCGAGGCGCTGTGGGGAACCCCGCGCACGAAGTCGGCGGGCCTGCAGAGACCGGGGGCGGGCGCCCGCCGCAGCCTCGCAGGGTGCTCCTTCCAGCGGCGCTTGCTGCCTGCACCTGCATGTGCTCCTCCTCCTCCTCCTCCTCCTCCTCCTCCTCCTCCTCCTCCTCCTCTTCCTCTTCTCTCGTCCTCCTCTCTCGTTCTCCTCTCACGTCCTCCTCTCTCGCGGTCGTCGTGGTCGTCGTCGTCGTCGTCGTGGTGCTCCTGCCCGGCCACGCGCTGAACAAGGAACCCTCTTCGTTGGGGAGGGGCTCCGTGTTCCTTATGGTTTCGCAGCTTGCCTTATAGGTGTTCCTTAGGTTCTCGATCCGAAGTCAAAGCTTGACTTATGGAAAATGGGGGCCTCGTTCCTCATTTAGGGTTCCTTGGGTTAACGCCCCGACTGTTGGAAGAGGGGGGCGGCTTCTTAGCAGCACCCCTGCTGCTTAGAAGGTGCGGGCATTCTTTGTAGATGAAAGGCCGGCGCCTTCTGAGAAGCAGCCTCCTTCTAAGAAGCCTTCCCCCCTCCCCCATACCCCCTCGTGCGCGCCGCCAACTCCTGCCCGGCTCGGCGAGAGAGCCCCAAGCATCCGCCGGTATGTTTTTTTGTGTTCCATCCGCGGCGCAGGAGGTCCCGACCGCTTCCCGGGGAGTAGCGTCTTGCCGGCCCCCGGGTCCGAAGCGGCCCAGAGGGTCCGGGATCTGAGGGAAGAACAGTGGGCCCTCGGGCGAAGAGAAGCATGCACATGCACCGATCCTGGCAAGGCCCATCCCTGACGCAGGACCGGTGCATACGCCTCCCTGGCCGACGCAGAGGGCCTGGCCAGCATCGGTGACTGTGCATATAGTTCCCTCTCCCCGGGAGGTCGGCGGCCGTAAAACGAGGCCGCCTCCGCCCGCGGAAGCCGGCGACAGGGCGGCGGAAGGTGGCGGAAGCAAAAGATGCGCCCCCAAGACTCAGGAGCGGAAGAAGGACGTACACGTACATGAATCCACGTTGGTTTCGAGATTACTCAAAGCGCGAATGTTCGTATCACGCGGCCGGTCTCGCGGATCGAGGGGCCGTGTTCATGTACATAGTTGGGCGCGTACGTCCTTTGTGGGCTCCCTAAAGACAAGAACACGTTTTTGGCTTTAGGCTCTCCGCATCCGCCAATCGGCCTTTCCCACCGTCGCGGGGAGCTTTCTTTCGGCGGCCCCGGTCCTCGCGGGTGCCCCCGCTGCCGGTGCCCTTGGCCGCCGTCGCCCGGGCTTCGCCTCGCCTCCCCGGCCGTCCCCCGGCTCTGTGGGCGGTGCCCAGCGCCTCGCGCCAGCCGCCGAGGGTGGCATCCTGGGCGGCTCTTGGGCCTCAGAGGACGACGAGCTTGTGATGGGCCAAAGGTAGGAGAGGGTGGAGGAGGCGGGGGAGGAGGAGGAGGAAGTGGAGGCGGAGGAGGGGAAGGAGGAGGAGGAAGAGGAGGAGAAACCAGAAGAGGAGGAGGAGGAGGAGGAGGAGGAGGAGGAGGACCTCCCCATCCTCTCTTCTCCCCCGTCCTACATTGAGTAGTGTTGGTGGAAAGCTGGTCCATCAGCTTGGGTAGCAAGCCATGGGTACTTAGCGTGCATTAGCGTGCGCTAGCGCCTAGGAGCTGGTGAGAAGGAGGCAATTCAGCCTCGATGTAGCGTCGATTCGTGTCGGTCATCGTCGATTCGCAAGAGCCAGCAAGATGACATAGGAGGCTCCCGTGAGTTGCCACAAGACCAATATACCGACACCGCAACCCTCGTCTCGTTCTTGCCTTTTTGGGCCTTCTGGGAGGCCATCGTCGCCACGGCTGGATTCGCTTCGAAGCTCTGGTCAGAACGCACCCTGGGAAAGGCCCGGGGAGTTGCGGAATCGGCGTTCGTGTGTCAACCCAAGATCGCCGCGCGGGGATTCTGGAGGCCATCCTGGGCGGCTCTTCTTGGGACAGCCTGACGGGCATCTCTGGAGGTGCCCGGGGGCCATGGGGCTGTGCTTGAGGCCTTCCTGGGGGTCGCCGCGCGGGATCTTGGAGGCAGCGCGCGGTCGAGGGGGCAGGAAGAGGAGGTCGCAGTGGGGCCCATACGCTTCTGCTCATTTTGTTAGAGGAGGTGGAGGAGGAGGAGGGGGAGGAGGAGGAGGAGGAGGAGGAGGAAGAGGAAGAGGAGGAGGAGGAGGAGGAGGAGGAGGAGGAGGAGGAGGAGGAGGAGGAGGAGGAGGAGGAGGAGGAGGGCTCGTCCATAGCAACGCCCTGGGCGACACTTGACAAACTCGGCAGGCTCTTCAAGCAGTCATGGGCCACTTGGGTCATGGTGAAGCCTCGGGCTGCGCACAGACATTCCCCCCCAGGTAGTCCTGGCTGGTCTGAACAGGCGCCCCCCCGAGCAGACCAGGGCGGTCTCAACACGCTGGCGCCGCCTCCGGCGGCGCCCTTGGAGGCGCTCCGCGCCCCGAGTTTGAGGCGTTGAAACTCAGGAGGGGGAAAACACACACAGACACCACTAATCGTCGACTCCAAGAACATATGGGAACAGATGGGCAGTGGGGGGGGAGACAGAAACCCAGAAGCTATGGGAAAATATGTGGAATCTGTTTATTTGTGTGTATTGATTTGTGTGTCCCAGGGCCCCTTCAGAAACTACTGATGGGGGCTGTTTGTGCGCTGCTCGGAGTGCTCACCAGCGGGTGATTGGACAGCTCCGTGGGGCTCGCATGGGCTCTTGGGGGTCGTCTTGCGTCTATCCGTCGGCTGTCCTGGAATATCGTATGCCAGTGCCGGAGTCATATCGGCGCCGTCTCGAGACGGCCTTGTGCAGTCTCGAGTTGTCGCGAGGCCGTCTTGGGGTCCACCGCACGTGGTGATAGGGGTTCTCCCCCACCCCCGAGCGGTGTTCTTCGTTGCAAGCGCAAAGACGCAAGGACGTGTGTCAAGCGTTGTGTTTAAAAGATGACCTGCCCGGCCTGTTCACACCAGCTGCTGGCGACGTCGGTGCTCGCCTCTTGGCTCTAGGGCGGCTCGCCCCATCGCGTCTGGCATACCTCTCTGTCTGCTCCATGGCTCCCCCGCCCCGTCGGGCCGATTTCCCTCCCGCACGCCCCCCAAGTGGATGCGAGGACCGCGTGCTGTTCTCAGCTGGCCGCAGCCTCGACGAAGAGGTGCTGGGGAGAGTGTGGGTGCAGCATTCGCGCGGCGGTGGTCATCTCACAGCACCTCCCCGGCATCAAACGGGCTCGATGTCGGCAGGATGATGATCATGGTGGTGGTGATGATGATGATGATGATGCTGATGCTGATGATGATGATGATGATGATGATGATGATGATGATGATGCTGATGATGATGATGATGATGATGATGGTGGTGGTGGTGGTGGTGGTGGTGATGGTGATGTGATGTGATGTGATGTGATGTGATGATGATGACACTGATGCTGGTCATGACGAGGACGATGCTGAAGCCGATGCTGATGCGGATGCGGATGCTGATGATGATGGGGAGGAGGAGAAGGAGGAGGAGGAGGAGGAGACGAGCAGCGACAGGATGAGGCTCGACATCTTCGGAGGATGTCCAGACGGGCCAGGCCCCCTCACGAAGCACCTCTGTCAGTGTGATTTCCCATGCGCTGTCCCTCCTTATCCTCCTCTTCCTCCTCCTCCTCCTCCTCCTCCTCCTCCTTGTCTTCCTCCTCCTCTTCCTTGTCTTCCTCCTCTTATCTACCCTTCACGCGCTTGGCGCATCGATGGTGCAACGGAACTCGTCGAACTCGCCACATTGACAAGCACGCATCTACTACAGAGCTCGGCCCAACACGACACCAAGTGAGAGACAGAGGGAGAGAGAGAGAGGAAGGGAAAGGACCAGAAGGGGAGAGCTGTGCCATCCCGCACCGCTTCATTCGGCGATGAGCCCAAGGGGGACGTGAGAAGGAGCGGGCCTTCTCAGAAGGCTCGGAACTCCCCTGGTCTTCTGCTAAGTTTTCCAAGCCTTCCCCGACGACACATACAACTTCTCAGACGGGGCGAGGGCTTCTGGGAAGTCCCGTCGCCTTCTGAGATGGTCTCCTCCTTCTCAGCTTCCCCCCTCGCTCGCCGCCGACTCACGCCACCCTTAGCCGAACCGTACTTCACGCACGGCAGGCCCGCGATGTCTAGCAGCCTTTCTTTCTACGGTACAGTTGAGGCCCATGCCTAGAAACATCCTGATTGCCTCCAGGGTGCCTGGGTTTCTTGGGTTTCGACGGTTTTGCTGTGGAAAGCGCGACGCTCCCTCACCAAAAATCCATGGACGTCCTGGGGTCTCAGGGTTGGGCTTCTTGTGGAAACTTTCTTGCGGACTGGCCATTCACTGTATAAGCCTGCGCCGCTCCGACGCGGCGGAAGACCCGGCGCGGGCGTTCCTGGTCGAGCTCGGGGCGCTCAAGAGACGGGGGTCAATGCGAGCGGATTGCAGTCAGAGCGCCTGATCTTGCAGAGTTCTGTAGCTCGAAGGAAGAAGACGCCATACGTACTTTTGCCGCTCCGAGCGGATCTCTTGGATCAGCGCTGGGCGGCGCCGCCCCTGGCGCGCTCCGCGCGCCAGGGAGGGGCATCCAGCGCAGATCCGAGTTTATGTTTATGCCGTCTTCTCTTCTTCTATTGACCCGAGCCCAGGGTGCATTGACCCGGGCTTGGGTGCAACGCCTGACTCGCCCGGGTCTGGATTGGCCCGGGTCAGCATGTCCCCGACGGGAGCCGGCACATCGAACGAACGATCTGAGTTATCGGAAAGCCGCGACTTTTCAAGGGTGAAGGGGCCTTGGGACACACAAATAAATACACGTAAATAACCGGATTCCCCATATTTTCCAATACTGGCTGAGTTTTTGTCTTCCCCCCAACTTCCCATATTTCCCCATATGTTCGATGGGGATCGATCATTCATTGTGTCTTTGTGCCTCCTTCCCTCCTGCGATCCACGCGGTGTACAGAAACCAGCGCCGACCTTGTCACGACAGTATTCTGCCCACTGCCTCCTCGGTCTGCGGGTGCCGATCCCCAAGCCCGTGCTTCGGTGCGGATCTCTAGAGCGCCTCGTCGTCGGCGGCGTCGTCGTGGTCGTGGTGCGTACTGCTCTGCTCGGGACTTGCTTTGCTTATGCAGTGCCGCCTCCGAGAGGATGGCGAGAGAATGGTGAGGATGAGGATTGGGGACGTCAGAGAGAGGGAGAGAGGAGCGGAGTCGAGGGGGGAGAGAGTGAGGACGAGGATGGGAGGGGGGGGGGGAGGGAGGAGAGGAGTCGAGGGGGGAGAGAGGGGAGAGGAGGAGAGAGGGAGAGAGGGAGGATGAGGATGGGGGACGTCAAAGTGAGAGCCGAGGAGACGCAGGCATGGATGAGGGCGCCTGGATTGGCGGCGTGCCCCGCTCCCGTGCGGACTCGGCTCGCTGCGTCGCCAAATGAGGCGGGCACGGATCCGTAATCCATGTTAGCACGTGTTGGCGAGAGAGAGAGAGAGAGAGAGACTCCTCCTCCTCCTCCTCCTCCTCCTCCTCCTCCTCCTCCTCCTCCTCCTCCTCCTCCTCCTCCTCCTCCTCCTCCTCCTCCTCCTCATGAGGGCCAAGAAGGACAACGGAAACCGCATCATTGGATTACTACCCGAAATCGCCCGCTGCTGGTCCATGTGTCGTGAGGACGCAGTTCGTTCATGGAACCGCGAATGCCACGCACACTGGGACGCAGCGATCAGAGGGAATTCAGCTCTGCGGGAGGCCTATGAACGGGCCCTACAGGAGGAGCTCAGCGCCTACGCAGGGGCGCCCCAGGGCCATGGACTACTGGACATTTCACAATTTTACGATTCTATCAGCTGGTGCGACCTCGGGGAGCAGGCCCTCGAGTTGGACTTCCCAGCGGAGGTTCTGGGCCTCGAACTCCTCCAATGCATCGCGCCCAGAGTTCTCACCCAGAGCGGCAGTTACACCTTACCCTTCCAACCAACTCGATCAGTGGTTCAAGGACTCAGATCTGGCACCCGATTCGCTAAGGTCATCACCTACAAGGCGATTCGGAGAGTGACTCAGGTCCATGCCAGATGCTCCCACCGCATCTGGGTCGACGACCTATCCCAGCGCATGCAGGGGTCTCGAGAGGCTATCAGGCGGGACCTCTTCAAATGCTTGCTGGACACTTGCCGCGCACTCCAAGATCGCGGACTCAGCATCGCCAAGAAGAGTGTGATCCTCTGCTCCAGCATGGACGACTCGAGGCACATCGCGCGCCGTCTGGCTCGCCAAGGCTTCAAGGTGGTGCCCAAGGCCCAAGCGGCCTACCTTGGCACTGACCTGGGGGCAGGCGTACGGGCAGCCCGCAGTACCAGGACGCAGCGCCACGCCAAGCACGGCCTGCAGCATAAGAAGATCCTACGCCTCGCCCGCGCCTCCCGACGCTACCACGTCACAGGGAGACTGGCCCTCCAGGGGGCACAGGCTGGAGGCAGCTATGCACATCAAATCCACGGAGTTTTCGGCACACAGCTGACACTCTTCAGGAGGAGGCTTGGAGACTCGTTGGGCCCTCGCCTTCAGGGACGATGCCTCACAACGTTGCTGGACCTCAAGACAGGCCCCTCCGACCCAGCACGCAAGCTTCCTCGCGAGACCATCCAGCAGTGGCTCACGACATGGATCCAGGCGGGGCCTATGGAGAGGGCCATCCGCCACACCTGGGATACAGTACTCAGGCATTTTCAATCTTTACCCGTCGGACAGCGGGTTCGCCACATCAAGGGGCCGCAGTCCACCGTCATCATGTACCTCCTGGAGCTCGGCTGGACGCCGAAGGGACCGCAGGAGTGGATCCTCCCGCCGACCATAGTCGACAGCCGAGGACAAGACACCTGGGAGTTCGATCGCCAGCAGCTCACAGGTAACCCTCACGTGGATATCCCAGACACACTGCTCCAGGACATCGACCGCAGCGCCCAGGCCAAGCTCTGGGCCAGTGCGAGCCAGCACTACGGTGGGTCTGGGATGGAGAGAGGGATCGACAACCGATCATATCGCAAGCTACTCCAGTACCTCGGTAAGATGAAGCACGGACGGCGACTCTCAACCATGATGCTCACCATAGCAGCGGGCGCTACGTGGCCGAAGGCCAGAGTGCTGGAGCAGACCAGCGCCATCACCGACGGCAAGTGCCCACGCTGCCAGGCCGCCAAGGAGACACCGTTCCATCGCACCTGGGAATGTGTTGCCAACCAGAAGTGCCCCGTGCACGACTCGACGGATCACATGATTGCGCAAGCCTCAGCCCAGCAGGACATGTTCGAGTGCTACTGGACAAGGGGCCTGTTGCCTCAAGCGTGGACGCAGGTCCCACCGCCAGCCAGCACATACGACTGGACCGCTCATGGCATCGAGAAGTTCCCACCGCAGTGCTTCGAGACCAATCGCACCAGCTCAGTCATGTACATTTTCGGGGACGCCAGCGGAGGAGGTGACACAGCCTCCCCAGTCCTCAGGCGCGTGGGCATAGGCATCGCTGCCTTCCCCAGCCTCAGGATCAACGACATGCAGCTGCAGACGGCGATGCGGGGGCCTCTCCCAGGAGACAGGCAGACAGTCGTCCGAGGCGAGCTGCTAACCCTTCTCCTCGCCATGCAGGTTTCGGAGAATGGACATCCGAGCTCGCCAGTCGGACCAGATGCAGACCTGTGGCACCAGGTGGGCGTCGAGCAGGCCAGGAGATCAGGCGATTTCGTTGTTCGTTTCACCAACTCCCATGCTACGGGCGAGGACGTCGCCCTAGGCCGCACCAATGCGTCCTTTGCATATGGCAACACTGTCGCCGACGAGTTCGCAGCAGTTGCAGCGGACAGCCGCCGTGTGGAAAAGCACCTCCGACAGCAGATTCAGGGTATCGAGAATGACGCCTACCTCGTCCGCATGAAGCTCCTGAGATCCACCTTAGAGGCCCTAGAGTTCGAGAAGGCTCAGATTCGTGAGTTGCCAGCTGGAAGCCGACAGCCTAGGAGAGTGAAAGCTCAGCCTGTCCGCCCTCCCGCCCCCTCCCTGTGTGCTGTTTTCAGGTCTCATCACCAATTAGATGACACTGGTAGACAATGTAATATATGTATGGGGTCAGCCACAGCTAGCACCCGTGTTGAATGGTATGATTCAGGGTGTTTCAATCTGGAAAATGTTGATGGCACTTATATGAGACCCCCCTGGGCAAGCAGGTTCGTGTAGCAGGGGGGTGGATTCATTTAACCCATCATCCGAGGTTCCACGCTGGGCTGGGGACTTGGTTCTGCTCCACATGCGGGAGCTACGTCTCCCAGCAGATTGGGAAGCTAGCAACGATGTGTCAACCGCCCTCGGCCACTGGGCGCGAGTATCTTAGACGTATCAATTCAGGTATCTGGCCTAAGGTCCTCAGTAAAGCTGAGCAAGCTCAGAGGAGTAAGCACCTACAGTAGGTGCAGCGGAATTTTCTTTCCAATACATCGCTACGCGATCAGGCAGATACTCCAGATGCTCCTCCTCTTCCTCCTCCTCCTCCTCCTCTTCTTCCTCCTATTCCTCCTCCTCCTCTGAGAGAGAGAGAGAGAGAGAGAAATAAAGAGAGAGAGAGAGAGAGAGAGAGAGAGAGAGAGAGAGAGAGAGAGAGAGAGAGAGAGAGAGAGAGAGAGAAAGAGAGAGAGAGAGAGAGAGAGAGAGAGAGAGAGAGGAAGAGAGATACATTCCGTAGCCATTTTGGCTCATGCCTGCCCTGGGCGCCAGGCGGGCGGCAGCGTTGGGTCTCTGCTGCGGCGGCGATGGCTCCCCAGGGGATGGCTGCGAGCGGGAGCAGGGCGGCCGACGCGGCGGCAGAGTTCCAGAGGCCGCAGCGGCTGCGCAGTCGCCGTGGCCGACGCGGCGTGCCAGGAAGGCCGTTGCCCGCGGGGCTGCGGCTGGGCGCTTGGCGGCGGCGCTGCGGCGCGTGCTCGACCTCGAGGCGCTCATGGGGAGCTTGCAGGCCGACCTGCGCCACGCGGTGGCGGCGGGCGAGGCCGCGGCCCTTGCTGCTGCCTCCTGCGCCGCCTCTGCCCCTGCGAGCGGCGGAGCCGTGGCCGATGTCGTGGGGGTCGCAAGCGGGGCTCCCGAGCCGACAGCCGTGGCGGCTCAGCTCGTGCAGCGCCTGGCGCTCGTCGCGCCCGTGCTGGGGGCGGACACCCGAGGCGCGGACGCGAGCGCCATGGAGGTGGGCAGGCGCAACGTGGTCTCCCACCATCCCGCCGCGGACGTGCGTGCGATGCCTCAACGCGAACTCCATCGAGTTCAGCGTGAGGCGGGGCGCGCGCCCAGGCTGGGGAGGCGCAGGACGCCCCGCAGGGGGCTGTCGGCGCTGGCGCCGAGGGCTCCAGCAGGGCGGCGGGCTGCGGTGCCGCTGCGGAGGCCCAGGCCGCCGTGGGGGTGGCCTTCGCTGCATCGGCGGCTGCCTGCGGCTCGCTCGGCGTTCGACGCGGAGCCTACCGCCTGGGAGGTGGTGCCCGCGAGGCGCGGCCGCGCTGCGCGCAGCGCGCCGCCTTCCTCTGCAGGCGCCGCGCGCCGCAACGCCTCCGCACCACCGCCCAGGGTGCCCGCGGCGCCGTGCGGGCAGGCGAACCCCTCCCAGGCGCTGTCGCCGCCACCGGTGATGAGCGGGGCGCGCTGGTGGGCGCGAGAGGCCGAGACGCTCGGCAGGAGCGACGCCAACCTGGAGTCCGACGCCGTCCCTGCTGGTCTTCATGGCGGCGCTGTACACGCTGTTGGGGATCGTGGGCACCTTGTTCCTGGAGCTGCGGGGTGGGAGTCTGTCCATCTCGCTGGAGCCGGCGCGCGTGCAGGCGACGCCGACGCGGACGGCGCGGCGGGCGACGACGGCGTGGGCTTCCTCAGCGGCGTCATCGGCGGGAGCGTGGAGCTGGAGGCCGGCGCCTTCGACGACCCGTCCGCCGTCGGGCACGGCGGGAACGACGACGTGAGCGCGGAGAGCGGCGTCGGCGGCGAGGACGATCTGCCCTTCTTTGGTCCCGAGGGCGACGTCTCGGGGGGAGACTGCGACGTCTACGAGGACGTGCTGGAGTGAGAGGTGGAAGGTCCTGACGGTCGTCATGTTGCTGCGGATGCGCTGGAGACTGAGGAGGAATATCATGAAGATCTTCACGGTGCCCCTGGGAGTGGGCACGTTGGGGCTCGTGCTCGCCGTGTCGACGAGGGCCGGGCTCGAGATGGTCAGCGCGCCGTCGGCGTCGCCTGCGCCGCCGTCCCGGTTGACTTTGGTAGCAGGGGCGGCACGGCCCAGGAGCTGCAGTCCGACGCCGTGCCCGTCGCGGAGTGCCTGGTGCAGTCCGCCGCCCTGCTGAGGGACGACGCGCCTGCTGGTTGGCAGCCCGTCGTCTCGCCTGCCCGCCGTCTCCTGGTCCTACGTGAGCACATGCGAGCGGCCATGCGCGTGGAGGCAAGCATGAGGCCTGCTGCTGCCAGGCGCATCCAGTGGCACTGGCGGGATCGGTGCACCTGGGGCCTGCCTGAGGCACCGACTAGCCGACACTGCTCAGCTCCAAGCGTGGCTGTAGCAGCCTCGCGCTGAACGGCGTCCTGGTCTGTTGTCGGAGCTCAAGAAGGCCAAGCGCGGCAGGTAGTGTGAGCGAGAGGGCGCTTTTCACAGGCTGGACATATTGTAGCTGCCTGCGCGCGCCTCGCTGCCGCTGGTTTCGGCTCGGTTTTCTTGGCGTGTTCTGGGCCGTGGGCGGTGTGCTCTGGGAACCCTCTGTGGTTGCCTTGGCGCGGGGATGTGGGCGGCCCTGGTGGGCCGTCCCCGCCCCCTCCTGGTCTGGGCTCTTGGGTGGGTCGGGCCGTCCCCGCGGGGGTGGGGCTCGTGGCTTCCGAGACCCGTGCGGGTCCCGAGATGCATTTGCTTCTGTCGGCGCCCTGTCTTGGGTCCTCGTCGCCACGTGGGCTCGGACGGCTCCGCCGGCAACCCGTCCGTAGCGACTGTGCCTAGCGGCGTAGCTTGCGAGCTGGCCGCCCTGAAGTTCGGGCAGCCGATGAGAGGCCGGCGCGCCCCCGCACGAACATGTGCGGGCACGCGGCGCTGAGGCTGCCGCGCCCCCGCTGTGCGATCGCGGGCAGGCCTCGACCTGACTGGCCGCGCCAAAGGCGGTGCGAGAGGAAGGGAGATCGAGGGCGAGAGCGAGCGAGAGCGAGAGCGAGAGGGGGAGTGATAACGAGAGAGAAAGAGAGGGTGATACAGAAAACGAGAGACACACAAGGAGCAGTGCACGTTAGAGGTGCGTCGGCAAGATGGTGGAACGATCCACCAGGGTACACTTCGGGCGGCTCTGCTATGGAACAGTGAAGCCTCGGACAGCAAATTCGGCGACGAATGGGAGGACGGAGCGGGACAGAGGGCACGCTAGGTCAGGCCAGGCTTGTATGCCGTTCCCCAGTGACGAGAGCTGGTCGTTAGTTGAATTATCTTTGCACTTATTGGGAAGGTTGGCCGGTGTCTTCGGAGCGGGAACTTGATGAATTGTGTGCACGTCTGAGCTTACAGGTGGCGAAGAGCAGTTCAGAGCAGCAGCGCAGCATACGTAGCACAGAACGGTGGGCGGTTACATCACATACGGCCAAATAGGGAAGCAATCATACTAGTAAGAAGGAAGAAGTAGACGAAGAAGAAAAAGAAAAAGACGACGAATACAAATAACAAATGGGTGACGAGATGGAGGACGAGGAGGAGGGCGACGACGACATGAAGGAGGTGGACACGAACATGGTGGGGCTGGTCCAGGGGGAAGCATCGACCCCGCCGATCGCCAGTCCAGGGCCTATCGCCAATCAGTCGGCAACGCCTCGCCGATTCCACGCCGATGCCCCCCCCGCTGAATCAGCCCCCCCTTGTTGTTCTCCCTGATAAGTGGAGCGGAGGAGGACGACGACGAAACGGGGGTGAAGGGGGAGGTGGACAGAACAACATGAAGGAAGAGGGGGGGTTCTGACGCTGGGGAGCAATGAGGAGGAGAAAGGGGAAGGAGGAGGAGGAGGAGGAGGGGGAGGGGGAAAGGGAGGGGGAGGCTGAGGATCGGCAGCTTCAGCAGCAGCGCTGGAAGTTGATCGAAAGGAAGACGAGGGTGAAATATAATAGGGGAGACGAGTGAGGATGATGAGAAGTTTAGCAGCAGCGGTCTCGCGGAGATTGAAGGACAGAGGGATTATGACATGAAACGAGGAGAGGAGGACGTAGCGGAATATGGATCATTTGTTTCAAGAGGCCCACGGTTATATCATGGCGCAATCTGAGAAGGGAGGTCGGTGCGCAATTTGGCAGACCATGCGCGAGGTAAGAAGGGCATGACAGCAGGGAGTAACAGCACCAGTGCTCCTGTCCTGGCCGAGCGGGGAGGGAAGGGGGGAGGGGGGTGGTCTGTTGCTGTGTCATTGGTAGATTGCTGATCGCAGGGGAGCCTCAGGCGAGAGTGGCCAGGAAATTACGGCCAAACCACAGGAACAATCGACTTCCCGGGGGTGCCCCTGCGTTCTTGCTTCTCTGGCCGTTCCTCGTCTTCGTCGGCCCGTCCAGCGCCGCGGAAGAAACTCAACCTCGGGGGCGTCCAGGGCCCTTTTTCGCCCTTGCGGCGCGTTCGTGTGATCTGGTTTGGCCGTAGAGCTCTCGGCTGTCGGGTGTTGCTCGAAGTGCCCCTGGCCCAGGGTCCCCCAGGATTTCCAAGGAGGCCCCCACGGCCTCTAGAGCAGCCACCCCTCACGAGGCCCCGCGGGCCCCCAGGGGCTCCAGCTGGGGCGAAAAGCTGAAGGGCTCCTTGGGCCAGGGGCACCCTTAGCAGCCCCCGGGGCTGGGGACGCGCAGGGGGGCGATGTCTGCGACGTCGCGTACGCGAAGACGATCGGTCAGTGTCCGCAGTGCGCGGCCTGTGCGCTGAGCGACACGCTCTGCGGGAGACGAGGGTGGGGGGGAGGCCTTTTTTGCACCGTTGGCGTCCTGCCTCTGCCTCGCCACCGACTGCCCGCTCCCCGTCTGCCGCATCTCCGTGAGGCCGGTGTCGCCAGCAGGTCTGGCGGATGCTCCCGTGGGGGCCTGTGCTCTGGGAAGGTTGCAGCATCGATCATGGATGCGTTGTCAACCACACCGCGGGGTGGATTCTTGATGTTTTTCTTTGCACCTCAGTCTTGGCTCGGGCTTCAGCTGTGGCCTTCAGGAGGATTTGGGAGGCCCCTATCACAGACGTATGTGCCAAGTCGGTTGCGTTGAAGATGCTGACGTTCTTTCCGAGCATCGCCCGCAGAGCAAGCCAACCCTAGGAAAGGCGCCCTCGGTAGCCACAAGAGCACTATCCCCTGCGTCGTCTCCAGTCGGCGGCCATAGGCGAAGGATCCTGGCGTCGGGGCTCAGCGTGGGCGACACCCTCTTACGGAGCAAGACTCTGAGCAACCTCGGACTGATTGGCTTTTGGGGTCCCAGCGCTGATCCCGCACCGGGTCCCAATTGAGGAGCATCGGGTCCCACGCGTGAGCCTCGGGAGCGTAGAGGTCCTGGCCAGGCCCCCCCCCCGCCCCGCCCCGCCCCGACCGCCCTCGGGCCGAGCATCGCGCCGTGCCCCCCAGGGCCGCCGCCTCTTCGGGGGGGACGTCTCGGCGGTGGCCGGCATCCGCCGCAGCGCCCTCGCGGCAGGCCCGATGCCGGGGCCGCAGTCCAGCTCGCGGAAGGCCAGCTCGGGCGCTGGCACCGCTCCGATCGGGAGCCCCCGGCGGGATCTTGCGTCCAGCCGCCGGCGTTCGCGCTTCGTCTGCGAGCGGGCCATGAACAGTACCTGGCAGTCAGCATCGTCTAGCCGATCCCCATCCACATGGGATCATAGCATCCCAGCCCCTCCATGTCACCGGACCAGGTTGGGATATGCCCTACGAAGCCCGAAGAAAACAGCATCATTCGTCAAGGCCATGTCAGTGATGATAGGGATCGTGTAAACGATACTCAGGCACGTCCAGTTCATACAGTGAAAATCCATAGCAAGGACGGGCAACCTTCTCAAGGGCACCCTTGCGTCCTTAGATTTGTTCGGCAGTGCGCCGCGGGCGTCCAAGGGCCGTCCAAGGGTCTTGCGTTCTTGCAGCGCGTCCCTACTACGGATTTTGGTTCACCGTGCTCTCGGGGAGCCCCCCGCCCAAGCAGCCCCCTTCGGGCAGGACGCTGCCGCCCTACGACTGCAAGGACGACTCGGCGCCCTGGCCCACCGACAAGCAGGCCCAGGGCAGGGGCGGTGGAGGAGCCGGCTATAGCGGGTACAGTCATTGGCTCATTCACCGCGTTTCGTGGCATCCCGAAGCAGTTTTCACAAGCAGCTTTGGTGTGAAGCGGCAGATCCATGTTGTTTTGTACGGGCCTGGTTTTCACGTAGTCCACGCGTCTGCCGTGGACAGCCTTGACCTAGGCTCAGACCACAGAACAGTCGCGGCAGTGCTTGTCCAGAAGGGCCGCTCCGTAGACCGCAACGCGCGATCGAGGTGGAAGCCTGCCCAGATGTGGGTTGAGCCAGGCGGTTTCTCTTGTAATCTGAAAGTGACTTCATTGGCACAGCGGTCTACAACTCTGACGAGAAATTGAAGCGGTGATGGTTTCTGTCGCAGAGGCTGGCCGCGACGATGACTCCCCGCGTGCCGCTGATCTCGCTGATGGTCGTAGATTGAAGGAGTTGCGGCACGAACCGAAGATGTGCGCGGACAGAGCGAGACGGAACGAGCTGTCGAAAGACATCTCAAAAGGACGGTGCGCAACAACCTACGCAGACTCTGAGAGCCAGAAGGTTGCTGAGATTCTCGACGACTTCTTGGACATATCTGCTTTGTCTTCTGTGCGCCAGGGTTTCCGGTCCAGCGCGAGACCAATTCCAGCAGGCCGCCGGACAGCATGGCAGAGCTCATGGGTGACGTTTTCGCGAGCGACACATGCTGTCCAATGCTCGACGGCGCCGACATGAGCACAGCCCCATCGATCACGCTCGGGGAGTTGAGCCGCGCCGTGAAGCAGATGGCAAAAAGGCAGGTGCCGGGACCAATCGGGAATTGCTCTGGAGATGTTTTCGAAGGGCGGCCCAGAGATTCTACAGTTCTTCGCTGCAGCTCTGAATGATGTATTGCGACACGGACGCGTTCACGAAGGTTGGTATGAGATTTATTTTGCCATGCCTCCAAAGTCGGGGGATTTGTCTACTCCGTCCAAGTGGCGCCCGATTGCGATTTTAAAAATGACGTACAACATCTTCGCCCTCGTTCTCCACTCCAGCACCAGCTCTACCAAGAGCAGTCTGACGAGCAGATGGGTTTCATGCCGGCCCGCAGCACAGAAGACGCCCTGCTTGTCTTGGGGACTGTGATCAGCAAAGGCGATCGACTGTCACGTGCCCCTCTTCTTTGCGCGCCTCGACTTGAAGGCATTTGATTGTACTATGTGGCCACAGTTGTTGGAAGCGTCGTGTGTACAGGGAGTTCCCCACCCCTATTTGAAGATATTGTCGGCGATATGCACGAAACATACTGGGCGATTTGGAGCTGCCAATATCTTCAACATCAATAGGGGCGTTCGTTAAGGTGACGTTCCGAGCCCGCTGCTGTTCAATGCCGGTCTGGAGATGGCCATGCGGTGCTGGCAAGCCCGCTTGCGCGACCACGGCCTGAAGTTCGAGCCCAGATGCCGCAGAAGACGCCTGCCCCACGTGTGTTTCGCAGACGATCTGATTGTCAATGCAAACAGTCTGGGATAGCTCATTGCGTGCTGAACGAAGAGCGGTAGCGAGTCGGCCTGACGCCGCACGCTAAGAACAGTCGGGTCTTCATCTTGGAACAGCACCTGGACAGGAAGGCATTTGAGGTTTTTAGTCGGCATAGCTGGGGTTTTCATCAGAGTAGTGAGGTCTTTTGATCACCACACGTACGTTGGAAATTTGTCCCCTGGCGACCTCATGAAGCGAGGCAGGGTTATGGTTGCATATCGGGCTTGTTGCGCATGGGACAAATTCAATTCGTTCAAGGCGGCCCTGACGAACAAACACGTCGACTTCCGCGCCCAGCTGTTCGATAGCATCGTCACGCCGACTGCATTGCACGGTCTGTCGACGGCGCTTTTGATAGCGAACGACGTTGAATAGCTTGCAAGTAAACAGCAGTATATGTTACGCCGCATGGTGGGATATGTCAAGCTCGACGCAGATGACTGGTCAGACATGCGCAGAAGACTGAAGACAATATTCGAAGCAACACAAGCTCGCAAACCCATCCGGCAATGGGCCACGGAGCTCATCAAGAGCAAACGGCTGCAGGAGAAACTCATTCGTCTGAGCCAGAACACGCTGTTGAGCTGAGTCGCGGCTTGGAACCCAGGCGGCACTGCCGACGCGAAGCTGCCTGCCCAGCCGAAGCGCTGCAGAGGCAGGCCGCGAACGACGTGGCGCAGAAGCGTTTGATTCCCGCTCGCCTTTCCTCGGTCGCCACCCTCCTGTCTTCCGTTTTTCCCCCCCATTGCCCTCTCCTCGTCTCTCGTCCTTGCCCGTCGCGCGTCCCTCTCTCCCTTCGCACGTCCTCTCCCTTCCCCTTTCTTCGATGCACAGCCGCGAACGTATCAGCATCAGAGGACAGGTGGCAGCAGAGGACACGTAGTTCGTGCGATTGCTTTCGTTTCACTCTGCGTCCGGTATCGGACCGGGCCTCGTGCTCATACGGGACATTGTTTTGCCTTGCGTCCGTCTGCGGCAAACCCACGGCTCAATCGTTCAATCGGATTGCGATTGGCATTGCGACCGTTGTGATCAGTCATGGTTGCGCGCAGGCCGGGTCTTCGGAAGCTGCTATCGGATCCTGCAGGCGTTGGGCGCCAACCCATGGAATGTCTCGAGATCGTCGCTCTCTTGTGGCAGCCTCGAACGTAACCCGTTGCGCGATATGCGACGTTCTCTTGTTGACGAGTGTGCCTATGACGATGTCCGTTCAAACTGTCCCCTGGTGCAAGTTGAAGGTCTCTTTTCAGAGGTGGTTATCATCATGTTAGCTTGGTTGTGTTGCTATATTCGGTTGCAGACGTATGCGCAGTGCAATGTCATGCCACCGATCGCCGAAGGAATGGATGCGATCGACACACCATCTCCCAACATCGCGCTGATTGCCCAGGGGGGAAGTGCGATTTTGCAGATGAGGTCCTTCCCACAGCAGTGTTTGCACCGAGTGGCTCTTCTTTCCCTGCTCAGGACCCACATTTGGCTGCTCCCATTTTTTCGACGCGTGGGCCCCGGAAGTCCGGACAATTTCCCTGGGAACGGCTTCTCGTCCCGGATAATTTTTTGACGCTCGCGAGGCCCGGCGAAAACACCCGAAGGCCGAAACTTGCAAACATCCCGCCGGTCCAATATTTTTGGAACGTCGGATCTCAGGGGAATCGGCCCGACTCCCGGGTTCACGCCCGGTGGCCTGCTCTGTGCCCTGGCTGGCCCTTCCGAGCTGCTTTTTGCCCGTAGCCCGCCCAGGGCCCGCCTCGTGCCAGCTCCGTGCGCTGGCAGGGTTCTCTGGGCTGCGGCCTGGTGCGAAGGAGTAGGAGCAGGAGGAAGGGGGGCGGGACCGAGGAGGAAGGAGGAGGAGGAGGAGGAGGAGGAGGAGGAGGAGGAGGATGAAGAGCAGGCGGGAGGGAGGGAGGAGGGAGGGAGGGAGGGAGGAGGGAGGGAGGTGAGGAAGGAGGAGGAGGAGAGGAGGAAGAGGAGGAGAAGAGGAGGAGGAGTAAGAGGAGAGGAGGATGAGGAGGAGTTGGACGAGGAGGAGGAGGAGGAGGAGGAGGAGGAGGAGGAATTGGAGGACGGCGAGGAGGAGGAGGAGGAGGAGGAGGAGGAGGAGGAGGAGGAGGAGGAGGAGGGAGGAGGAGGAGGAGGAGGAGGAGAGGAGGAGGAGGAGGAGGAGAGGAGGAGGAGGGGAGGAGGAGGAAGAGGAAGAGGAAGAGGGAGTGAGGAGGAGGAGGAGGAGGAGGAGGAGGAGGAGGAGGAGGAGGAGGAGGAGGGAGGGAGTAGGAGGAGGAGGAGGAGGAGGAGGGAGGGAGGAGGAGGAGGAGGAGGAGGGGGGAGGAGGAGGAGTTGGACGAGGAGGAGGAGGAGGAGGGGGGAGGAGGAGGAGGAGGAGGATTGGACGAGGACGGGGAGGAGGAGGAGGAGGAGGATGAGGAGGAGAGGAGGTTGAGGAGGAGGAGGAGGAGGAGGAGAGGAAAAGGAGGAAGAGGAGGAGGAGGAGGAGGAGGAGGAGAGGAAAGAGGAGAGGAAGAGGGAGGGAGGAGGGGGTAGGAGGAGGAGGAGGAGGGGAGGAGGAGGAGGAGCGGAGGAGGAGGCGAGGAGGAGGAGGAGGACGAGGACGAGGACGAGGGACGAGGACGAGGACGAGGACGAGGACGAGGACGCGTGGGAGGGAGGGAGGGAGGGAGGGAGGGAGGGAGGGAGGGAGGAGGAGGGAGGAGGAGGAGGAGGAGGAGGAGGAGGAGACGGAGGGAGGGGGGGAGGGAGGGAGGGAGGGGAGGAGGGAGGGAGGGAGGGAGGGAGGGAGGGAGGGAGGGAGGGAGGGGTACGGCCGACCAGGAGGGGATACCGGTATCCGACCTCATACCCTTCTCTTTCTTTCATATCATCTTGTGACCTTCCAGGGCCCTCCTCCCTCCTTCTCCTCTCGCTCCACTTCCTTCTCCTCCTCCTCCCCCCTCTCCTCCTGCCTCTCCCTGCTCCTGCTCCTCCTCCTCCTCCTGCCTCTCACTGTCACTGCTCCTGCTCCTCCTCCTCCTTCCTCCTCCTCCCCCCCTTCGCCTCCCCCTCCTTTTCTTCCTTCAGCCTGGTTTTCGGGGTCTCCAGACCTTGGGATTTTTAAAAATTTTAAAAATTTTAAAAAGTTTCAAAATTTACAACACTTTTGAATTTTTAAAATTTTTAAAAAAATTTAAAAGTTTGGGGGGTCCGGAGTTTCTGGGGGGTCCTGGCCGCCTGGTTTGCGGATTTCCCAGGCCCTGGGATGTTTAGAAATTTTAAAAATTTTAAAAATTTTAAAAAAATTTAAAACACTTTTGAATTTTTTTTTAAAATTTTTAGAAAAATTTAAAAGTTTGGGAGGTCCGGAGTTTCTGGGGGTCCTGGCCGCCTGGTTTGCGGATTTCCCAGGCCCTGGGATGTTTAGAAATTTTTTTAAAAATTTTAAAAATTTAAAACACTTTTGAATTTTTAAAATTTTTAAAATTTT